TCACCTCAGTCACCTACAGCGCAGGGTATAGATGCGCATGCGCGGCCAAAAAGTCCCCTTGAACTAAGTCTGTCACAGCACTCACACTCTATCTTTTCCTCTGATCTAACTCTTCCGGGGCTACACTCTTCTTTAGGCAGATGCTATATAAGATGCTATTTGTTCCTTTTTAGTTGACTACCTGCGATTCTAGCGGAGTCAGGCTAGGTGTTTCATTTTGTGGTACAGGGGACTGAACTCAGGCCCTTGTGCTTGCCAGGCAAGCACTTATTCTACTGAGCCATCTCCCCAGCCCCAGGCTAGGTGTTGGATGGGCTGAGGCTGGCCCAGCTGACTGAGACTCGTAAAGAAGCAAGAAGTCCCTGAGGTGGAGGATCCAGAGCGGTTCTCCATCTTTGGAGCTAGGCTGTGTGATACGACTCTGAAACCCCTGCTCGGTCTTCTCAGCTTTCTCATGAAGGCTCTTATCCCCAGTGTACGGTCTAAGCTTTGCCTCTTTTCTGTGCACTCTTCCTAGGCTTCGCTTTTTTTTTTTTTTTTTTTAGGTACTTGGTACAGGGTCTTGCTACAGCTGATCCTTTCTGCCCTGTGATTTATGTTTCTAAGGGTGAGTTCTTTTTTTCAGAACCAGGGATTGAACTCAGATCCTTGCATTTGCCAGTCAAGCACTTATCCTACTGAGCCATCTCCCCGGCCCCTAAGAGTAAGTTTTTTTTTTTTTTAACATTTATTTATTTATTGTGTGTGTGTGTGTGTGTGTGTGTGTGTGTGTGTGGCCAGCTCAGCCCACCAGGGGGCGTGGCTGGCTGGCATGTGGTGCTGGGGGATTGAACCGCGGTCCCTGTGCTTTGCCAAGCTTGTTCCAAGTAGGTACTTTAGACCACTGAGCCATCTCTCCAGCCCCTAAGAGTAAGTTCTTAATGAAGAAAGAGCAGCTAAGCTCCAGGCCCTCTGGGTAGCCGGGTCTTCCCATGCCTGTTCCTGTGTACAGTAAAACACAGGACCCAAGCAGAATTCACACTGAAAACCTCAGCTATTTGCAGAGCCCCACTCTGCCTACGGCGGCATCTTGTCACAGTGATCCTCCTGTTTTTCGCCTCCCCAGCACTGACATTGCAGGCATAGGCCACCACACTGGTCTTGTTGGCCAGCTCAAGTGCCCAGAGGCAGGGCCAGTGGGGCATGTGGGATCAAAAGATTGAATCCAGGTCCCTGAGCTTACCCAGCACGGGCTTAAACCACTGAGTTATCTCGTTGGTCCTTTCTTGAAAATCTTTTTTAAATCTTTTATTTATTTAGTACAGGGTCTCACTAAGCAGTTCAAAATCATAGTGATCCTCCTGTCTCAGCCTCCCCTGAGCTGGGACTACAGGTGTGCACCACCACGGCCAGTTTCTGTGACCAGAATAGTGCACCCAACTTGTCATGCGGTACCACGCACTGATCCCCAGTCCTTGCGCTTGCCAGGCAGGTGCTTAGACCATCAAGCTATCTCCCCAGTCCACTTTGTTTAAAACCGTTCGGAAAGGCTGCCCTAAAATTTGTGATCCTCCTGCCTCAAGCCTCCCATATACTGGGATTACAAGCATGTGCATCCAGCTCTTCTAGTATTTTTTGTTCATATCCATTTTTACAAACTTGAAATCAGTTGTATTTTTTAAATTGAAAGGAGCTGGGGATATAGCTCAGCGGTGCAGTCCTTGCCTAGCATGTGCAAGGTCCTGGGTTCAATCCCCACCCCCACACAGATAATTTTAATTTTTTTTTTTTTTTTTTTTTGACAACAGGAACAAGTAACTTTAATGAACACAGAATCTGTGGAAATCCAGGTATTTACAGGGAAAAAAAGTGCAGTTGCCGTAGTTTAAGGCGGCTCTTAACTTTTTACGTGGAAAACTAGAAAAGGTCAACAACTAACTTTTGTCTTGTCTGCTCAACACTGAGGATTTCCAGAAATCTTTCATCCTATTGGATGAAATGTCTGTAAATTAGGCGAGTGTATCTTCTTACTTTTGTGATGTACTCAGCAAGACCAACCTCCCAGCCCCGCTGGATGAGGGCATCCCTCTCTTCCTCCAGTGCCAGGTTCGCATCAGGTCTGTCTATGGATGCTACAGCCAGGGAAGCCACCGTCTTGCAGTTCTCCACCACCACTTCTACGTACAGGGCATTCCCCACAGACGTGAGGCTGGCCCATTCATTCTCATCTCCACATCATCCAAAATCTCCAAGTCCTTGGGTTTGGACACACCTGCCATCATATGATCTCTTTTATTCTTTAGGGAGAGGCAAAGGTCTCAGGA